CCGCGGGGCGCTCTCCCCGGCGCCGGCCCTGCGCCAGCCTCCGGCCTCTGCCGCAGCGGCTCGGGCTCACGCGCACTGCGCGCCCTCTTTTTCTTTCCGTTGCAGAGAACTGGAAGCTAAAGCTACCAAAGACGTGGAGAGGAGTCTCAGCAGGTAAGATGGGCGCGCCCGCCGCCTCCCGCCCGGCTCGCCCCGCGGCCCCCGGGTCGCGTTCCTTCCACGCGGGGAACGCTGGATGCAGGGGCTGCGGGGCGCTGCGGAATTGCGCTCGCGTTCCTTTCGCGGGGCGGGGTGGGGGCGGGGGGGAGGAGAAGGCAGCGGCAAGCAATTCTTGTAAACTTAGTTAAAGCATTCGCACCCTTTTCAGAATGTAATTAGGGCACTTGTGCATTAATTACTATTGTAAACGGTTGCAGGCATTGTGTGACTCACGATCGAGGCGGCCCCGACGGCGGGCTGTCAAACTGTTTTGGCTTCCCCGTTATTACTTTGTAACTCAAATTGTTGCGTTTCTGAAAAGATGCTGTGTGTTCCATCGTTCTGCTGCAATAGCCAAGGCGGGTTCTGTTCGCGCTGGGAGCAGTGTTGCCCTTGAACTTTACCGAGCAAGAAACTGCGTTGATTTCTTCTTTGGAAACTAGATTCGTGTCTTCCTTCTTCAATGTGTGTGCGTGCGCTCTTTTTATCGGCCGGTAAAATTTAAAAAATCTGTTCCCAGTAAGTGGTTATCGTTCCTACTGGGCCCCAGTGCTTTTGCACTGGTAGCTTAACTCTCACCACAAAGGGACTTTTTTTTTTTTTTTCTCTTCTTGGTTTTTAAACGGTGCCTTTATGGAAATGTTTAGCTTTGTTGAGTGTGATTGCTGAAGCATCAGGGCATTGCACTGTTTTGAACTCTTTTTCGCATTTTCTGTCTTGCAGTCTTTTCTTTATTCGCTGCTTTCTTTTGCATCATGTTTTGGGACAGTCAGAGAAACTTCTAGATTAACCTCTAGAAGATTAAAGTGAGCAGCTTTCTTTCACTTGACCAGAATAAAATAAACTTTCTCCTTCATATGGTTGGTACGTGATGACTGTACGTGTTAGGTTTATGTTGAGCTTATTAACACACGATTCAAAATCGTCTGAATATTTTTCACCACATAGGATCATTCCAAATGGCTGCTCTTTGAGTTTTTGAGATCTGTGATTCTTTTAAGGTGATCATTAAAGAAACGGCTCAGCTGTTGAGAGTTGGGCACCGTTGGCTTTCCAAATATGAGATTTTCTGTTACTCAGAATAATTAACGGGACCATTTAAAGGAAATTAAGCCTGACATCACTGACTTAACTGTTTGTCTGGCATTTAAATACGATTTGTTGTCAGAAGCTATTAAGGAAATGTTAACATATGAAACCAATCAAGAAGACAGGTGGAGTTTTTAAGGTGTGATTTCAGGGGCAGAAAGGTGCTTGGAGTTTGGCGCTATGATGTCTCCCTCCATTTTTGCTTTATCGGGTAACTCCATCAGTGTAATTCTTATAGAGGTTTTCTGGGATTTAATTAAAAGATTGTCTATACCACAGGTACGGTTTTCATATGCTATGACTGTGAGAGCTTGGAGTCTCTATCAGAGCCCGAGTCCCAGCTCTGCCCCTCACAGTGTGACCTTGGCCCTTGACAAAGCACTTAGCCTCTCTGTGCCTAATCTATAAAACGAGAGGTTTGGGCCGGCCAGTTGCTAAGGTCTGTAGGCCCCTTGGGTTATATAAAAAAGAGTCACGTGCTTCCCCTGGCCACAGAAAGCATGTACAATCCAGTGGGAAGACTACAAGTACGTAAATAACTAGTACAGGGCGGATGATGGCGGGGTCAGAGAAGATACCGTCGCGTCCACATACTTGAGGATGTTCCATTGGTCAGAAGGGACAAAGAGAAACCAGTGTCAAGGAGGTGGTAGGGCCATGTGTACCGGGAACCA